TAGATGTGGGTCTTGGTTGCCCAATTCCCAAAGTTTTGAACACCAAATAGGGCATCAAGTTGATGCTCTCCCGAGATCACAAAGAGCTTTAGCAAAGTCAGCGCTTCCAATTGTACATGGGATTGTGAAAGCTCCCGGATCTTCCAAATTAGGAGCCATTGAGTTCACAATTGCACTCACTTGATGTGTCATCTTTATAGACTCACAATTCATCGACCTCTTCTTTGTCACCAAGTCCTTCATGAACTTTGCATAACCCGGCATTTGCTCCAAGGCCTCAAGCAATGGCACATTAATAGACAAACTCTTCATCATGTCAACGAACTTTTTGAATTGGTTTTCGCCATTTTGCTTCAAGCCTTTGAGGATATGGATGAGGAGGCCTTGGCATTGGTGCCTTAGCCTTTGGCACTACCGGTTCCGGTATGTCAACAATGTGCTCCCTAGACGGGTTCACTTCTTCTTGAGTCTCCTCCACATTGTCTTCAATATCAATTCTCACCTCATCATTTGCTTGCACTTCATTGCTTTGCATCTCGTCTTCTTGTACCAATTGCTCATCATCCACAATTTTCTTTTGACTTGAGGTGGTTGCATCCCCACCTTTTAAACTCCTCGTAGTAACGGCCATGGCATGTCCCGTGTTGTTCCCACCCTTTAGGTTCACCACCGTATCACTTGGTAGTTCCCCCTTAGGACGAGTGCTCAACGCTTGCGAGATTTGGCCCAATTAAACTTCCAAATTGCGAATTGAAGTGTTGTGAGAGGCTAATTGAGCATCGAATTCGGCATTCTTCTCCATTATTTGGTTAAACATGTTCTCAATTCGACCTATCTCATTGTTGGAAGAACTCGGACCTTGAGAAGGATAGGGAGGTGGGTTGCTCGGTTGTTGAAACATCAGGGGCCTTTGAAAACCCGACCCCCTGTTGTTGTTATTGTTCCACCCTCCATGGTTGTTTCCTCCCCAATAGCCTTGATTATTGCCACTCCAATTGCCTTGGTTATTTTGACCATTCCAATTTCCTTGATTGCTTTGATTGTTCAAATTCCCTTGGTTGTTACCACCATTACAATTACTTTGGTTGTTTGAATTCCAATTCCCTTTATTTCCTTGTGGTCGCTATTGTTGTTGATTTAGGCCTTGATTGTTATTTCTTTGCCCTTGGAAGTTGTTCACACATTGTACCTCCTCCTCTTGTTCATTGTATTGTCCATATTGATCAAATCCACTATCATCTTGCAGATAATTTTTGACACGGTTTTTCACTTGAGGACCCTTTTGCCTTCTCTTGTTTACCATCATATAACTCCCTCCATTGCTTTTACTTGCTTGGGACCTTGAACTTGTTGAAGTTGGGCTTTGTCTAGTTGATTCATTGTGGCGGTTAACTTGGCAATTGCTCATGTAATTCTTTATGCAAGAGAATCACATTTGGATCACCTTGAGGAACATTTGCTCTACTTTGCAATGCCAATGAAGTATCCGCCATTTCATCTAAGATCTCACAAGCTTCCGCATATGGCGTTGTCATGAAATTTCCACCAGCAAGTTGGTTGACCACGCATTGATTGGTAGTGTTGATCCCCCTATAGAAAGTTTGTTGAATCATAGCCTCCGTCATGTCATTATTGGGGAACTCTTTGACCATTGCTTGGTATCTCTCCCATATCTCATGCAAAGGCTCGTTGGGTTCTTGTTTGAAAGCTAGAATCTCATCCCTAAGAGTTGTCATATGCTTGGGAGAACAGAACTTGGAAATGAACTTCTCAGCCAATTTATCCCATGTATGGATAGAAAGATTTGGCAACCTCTCTAACTAATCCAAGGCCTTCCCCCGTAGAGAGAAAGGGAATATCCTCAACTGTAAAGCATCCTCGGAGACGTTTGTCTGTTTACTCCCCCAACAAGTGTCAACAAACCCTTTCAACTGCTTGTATTCATTTTGACTCGGAACCCCGGTGAAGAATCCCCGTTGTTCCAATAGTGTAAGCATAACATTTGTGATTTGAAAGTTTCTCGCTCTAATGCGGGGCGGGACTATAGCACTTGCATATCCTTCATTCGGCAACACCCGGTGTGCAGCTGCTCTTGGTGGAGATGGGAGTGGAACGGGAACGTTGTCTTGAGGCGGCCGGCCTCGTCTATTTGCTTGAGGTTCAAGAGGAACCTCTTCAACTTGGTCATCATCCCTGTCATCCCCCAATGGAATGTTTCCAAGAGGATCATTGTTGTTGAGAGCCATTGTATCACCTACAATTGTTTCACAAAAAGATTAGTAACACGGAAGGAAAGGAAGACAAATCACACACAAAGCCAAATATATAGCTAAATCCATTTTTAGCTCCCCGGCAATGGTGCCAAAAATTAATCTCGCCCAAATCACACCTCAAATTGGGTTTGTGAAGCGGTCGATTGCAATAATAATAACCCAACTAGGAGTCGGGATCGATTCCACAGGGAGCGTAGAAGGGATTAGTGGTATATATTTGGATCAAGCGCGTAAAGTGTCTAAGTTGCACTTCCACAAACTTTGTTTTGATTTCTTCTAAATTATGCTACGGTTTGCAATTATAAAATATGAAACTAGAGAATAATGTTTTTGTGGTTGTTTTTCCAATATGTAAAAGGTCTACGGCTGTGACTTCTACCTAGGTGTTTACCTAACGGGTTGTGGGCTTTAGAGCGAGTTTCGTTGGTCGGGGTGTATTATATCAATCAACACATAATTACCCACTCAATACCTCTCGGTAAGAGAGTGGTTTTGCCCAATTTGGCCTTCTCAAGCCCAAATGGGTATTGCACAAAACAGTTGATAAATGATCATGTCGGGTCTTACTATCTCTATGTTCAACCCTTTAATTGGGACTATCAATCTCTTGAGTACATCCCAATTTTTTGTTAGCCTAGTTTTCCTAGACTAAGTATCTCTTTCTCAAGTAGAGACTAAGTCAAATAGGCTTGCATCAATGTTTGCAAACATTAATTCTACAATTATAGCAAGAACTAGGCTAAATATTACAGATCCAACCATAAATAAGCCCTAAATCAAACACACATTAGATACCCACACTAGGGTAGGGTCAATACCCTAACTAGAAATTTAGTTACTCATAGTGGATAATGAAGAAAATAGAGAAGAAATGATAAGTAAACTCATATTTAAAGATTAAAGGACAAAAATCTAATGTTTAATCACTAAAGTAAGCAAAAGTTGCTAAAACCAGTAAATAAAAATGCCTACAGATGTTTGGGTATTCAGAACTTGACCTAAATTTGTCAAAAAAGACTATTTATACATAGTTGGAAATTTCAGACAAAAAGACCCTTTTGGAGGTTCTGCGGCCGCACAATTCCATGTGTTGTCCGCAGGGGCGGACCTACGCTTGGGGGTGGGGGGCACGGGCACCCGTTGGCCTCGGTAAAAATATTGTATATATATTCTATATATATAAGTTAATACAGGAAGGACCCCGATAAATATATTATGCGGCACCCTCAGTCACAAAGACTGGATAGAAGAGTTGGTTTGTGGGAGTAGTTGGCTTCTTCAAGACTCAGGTTCGAATCTTAGGTCCAACAATCAAAATAATTTTTTTGATTGGGTCTTATTTGGTCAGGCCTTTAATTTAACGCATACTGGTACCCTTTTTGCACACGCCTACTAGTACCCTTTCTCTCTCTTTGACATAAGGTTCTTCTAAACCCAAAACAAATTTCAACACCTACTCCCTTTTCTCTCTCTTTGACATCAGTTCTTTCTTCTAAACCCAATTCCCAAACCAAAACAAATTTCATCCTTCACCTGTTCACCATCACGGCATCACATGTTTCTTTCTTCATGGATTAAGGCATGAAGCAGCTGCCGAATCTTTTTCTGGGTAAGATTTTAAAAATTATACTTGGAATTCTCCATCTTGTTTTCACTTTTTTAATGGTAAATTTCAGTTTCTAAGTTAGGGTTTAAAAAAATCTCTTTTAAAATACGATTGAGAAGGGGCTTAACTAGAAGGTTTTGCTTGCCTCTTATTTGTGTCTTGTTCTCACTTTTGGCTATTCTATTTTGATTGAATTTTCTGTAATTTTTCTTGATTTTATTGAGGCTAGTAAAGCCTTTGATTTAGGCCCCAAAAATTTTAAGGCCCCAAAAGGTGTACTTCTTTTAGTTTTTGAATTTATTGTTTGTTCGACTCTCAAAAAATTAGAAACGGTGAGCTTTTTGATATAAATGCTTAAAATGCTATCTCTTTCAAAGTTGACATAGATTTTTGTAATCTATACTACTTCACTTGTCAAATGTTAAGTTATTCGATTGAACTCATTAACCTTTGTCACCGAGCACTGGACACTTTTTGAGTTGCTGATTAATAGTTAACAAAACCCCTTTATTGGTACAAACGTAACCAATGTTCACTTATTAGTTTGTTGTTTCTTTTTACTCCTCAGAAAGTTTGGTTGATTAATCATATTAAAAATATTATTTTGCTTGGCATTGTTGCTTTGTAGGAAGTTCTCTTGATGTGAATTTAGATGGACAAATTTTTGACGAGGTTTAATTTTCCTCAACCAAGTTCTAGTTTTAGAGACAATTCCTCCCATCTTGTCGAAGAGTTTGATGTGAAATCACTTAATACCGACCCCGGAGAGAGAATACCCATTGATAGATATAGCCCTAGAATACGGGATGAAGTGAGAAGACACTACATCCAAAGAGGGCCCTGCCAACCAGATCACAAATTTCCTAAAACTTTATTTGGGAAGAAAATGCGCCAATTTAGTTCGGGTTGGTTTAAAGGTTCGCATTCTAGATGGTTAGAGTATGCGTGAAGAAAGATGCCGCATTTTGTTTATGTTGTTATTTATTCAAAAATGATTACGTTAATGGAAGCACGGTGACTCTTTCACAAAAACCGGCTTTAAGGGTTGGAATAAAGCAACCGAAAGATTTGATCTACATGTTGGTGAAGTAAGTAATCTCCACCATAAGTGCTTCAACAATATGTTAGCCTTGTCAAATCACTCTCAATCAATTCAAGCTGCTTTTGAAAAGCAATCCGATCAACAAAAAACTGAATATCGAATTCGTTTAAATGCCTCAATTGATGTTGCAAGGTTTCTCTTGGACTTTGGATTGCCTTTTCGTGGTCACGATGAAAGTGAATCTTCAAAAAATAAAGGCCTTTTTCTAGGGCTTTTGGAATGGCTTGGAAATAGGCTTCCAGATGTAGATAGAGTTATATTAAAACATGCTCCAAAAAATGATATGATGACTTCGCCAAAAATTCAAAAGGATATTATGAGTGCTTGTGCACAAGAGATCGTGAAAGCTATAATTGATGACTTGGATGGAGATTATTTTGGGATATTAGTTGATGAGTCCAAGGATATTTCACACCATGAACAAATGCCCCTTGCTTTGCGGTATGTTGACAAAAAAGGCCAAGTGAACGAGCCATTTATTAGTCTTGTTCGTGTTAGTGATACATCTGCAAAGTTGTTGAAAGATGCAGTACTTTCTTTGCTAATGAAACACTCATTAAGTCTATCCAAAATACGTGGACAGGGCTATGATGGGGCTAGTAATATGCAGGGAAAGATGAATGGCCTTAAAGCTTTAATTTTGCAAGAAACTCCATGGGCATATTCTGTTCATTGTTTTGCACATCAATTATAATTGACGCTTGTAGCTGTTGCTAAAAAACACAAGGAGGTTGAGACTTTCTTTGCTATTGTTACTAACGTGTTGAGCTTTTTTATGCCATGATTGATTTGCAACTTCTGGAGCTTAATAGTCGTTTTGATGTTGTGAGTAGTAACTTGCTTCTTGGTATGGCTAGTTTGAATCCGGCTAACTCATTTGCTAATTTTGATAAGAAAAGAATAATGACATTGGCCAAGCATTATCCCGATGAGTTTGGTGAATTGAAGCTTCGAGATCTTAGTCGCCAACTTGACACTTTCATATGGCATATGCAACATGGTGACCCTAGGTTCTCTGATTTGAAAGGAATTGGTGATTTAGCGAAAGCATTGGTTGAAACAAATCTTGTGGAGACTTATTCACTTGTTTATTTGCTTGTGAAGTTGACTTTAATTTTACCTGTCGCAACTGCAACGGTGGAAAGAGCATTCTCATCTATGAAGTACATCAAAGATGAATTGCGTAGTAGTATTGGTGATGCATTTCTAAATGATTGTTTAGTTTGTTACTTTGAGAAGGAAGTGTTTGTAAATATAAGCAATGATGCTATTATTGACTGTTTTCAAAATATGAAAACGCGTCGAGTTCAACTATGAGTGGACAATATACTTTTGTTATATTAGTATCCAGTTAATGGTATTTGATAATATTGTTGTTTTTATTTTGATGATAAATCATCATAGTCATTTCAAAGAGTTACACCCTAACTTTATTGTTGGTGATTGGCATACTAAAAATAATGGTGCCCCCGTAACGCTTAAATCCTGGGTCCGCCTCTGGTTGTCCGCACTTCTTCATCATTCTTGGCAGGGGCTTGGTCTGCGGCCGAATAATTCTGCGTTGCGGCCGCGTGTTGCTTGTTCTGCGGTCCGCATAATAGTGAGCGCGACCGCACAGGCCCTTTCTGTGGACCGCACAAAACTGAGTGCGGTCGCGTGGCTAAATTCTGCGGCGGCATAATAATTGTGCGGTCCGCATATCCTTGAGGCTTGAACTGGAACTTCTCTGATCTTGAACTCTAGCATGGCTTCTGCGGCCGCACAATAATTGTGCGGTCCGCACATTGCTCTTGGGTACTAATGGAATTCCTTTGCATTCTGCGGTCCGCGCATTAGCCCTTTTTCCTGCTTTTTGTCCTTGAGTCCATATTACTCCTTTTTGAGTTTGATTTCATCTTTGTGGCTCATTTTCCAATACTCCTGCATTTAAGCATATTTCATCAGTTTTCGGAAATACAATTAAGTACTTTTGGACTAAAACGAAAGTAAAAAGGCACTAATAAGTAGTCAAAATCCCAACTTATCAGGTGCACCTTCCTCCGTAGACGTAGAGGCTCCTTTGCCATGAGGTTTTGTTATGCTGCAGTGTGGGGGTGGCGACCCATCTCGCCTAGGGGACGCACTCGGTGTCGTATCCTCACCAGCTATTTTGCAGCTCTCGTTGAGGACGGTTATGAGGTTGGTATGTAAGTCACTTGTTATCATCACCCTTGCTTCTTGGTTACCTGCCATGTTAGATTTTGCACAAGGAAAGAGAAAAGATCTTGGGCTTTGTGACGTTAGTGACCAACGTTAGTTATAGATCTAGAGGAGACTAAAAGTTTAGCTAAGAAATTTACACAGACGGTTACAAATTGTTTGACCTAAAAACGTAAATCTTGGTTCAACTAATTAATTTCAGTTAATCATAGGTAAATCTTAGTTAAGAATAATATCCTCAGATCTTGTAAATCAGAAAAGGTGGTTGAATGGCGTTTATGAGGATAATAATGATTCTATGTAATAAATGCCTTTTACTATCAAGAACAGCAGCAGCGTGTGTGATATTCAATAAATGAAAATATAATGGCACTCATGTAATTAAGAGGAATAATTTAATCAGCAAGAGGTGGAACAAAAGAACCTTCTACCTGACAAATTGAAAGATAGATCCTCAAACGATTGAGGATTCCTCGGATCTAAAGAGAATCTTAATGAAAAGTGAAGTCTTGTATTGAATGAAGAATGAATCTTTTTCAAAGTGTTCTTGCAATTGAGTCTCACGTGCCTCTATTCTGACTCTTTTTCCTATTTATATGAGACATATTCCTAGTAAACCTCATGCCCATAGAATATCCACAAAATATTCTCTTTAATACCCTATTTCGAAAACTAGCCGTTACAGCTTCATTGATGGTGCTCGACTTCGACCATGATTGGCACCTCGACCACGTCTCATGTTGACTCTTCGGCTATGAGCTTTACTGCTTCCTGATCCACCTCGACTAATAGCGGCTCGAAAACCTTTCCCTAGTATTACCTTAATTCAAATATTCTAGAGCGAATTTTACCCATACAGTATATAGATGGCACAATACTATTAATAAGCTACAAGTCTACAAGTTGCTTAGCAGGACGTAGTGACAAATTATTGAGCTGCAGCCCATATTCAACAGTACCAATATTAGGCCTATATTGGTCACCTGGAGTAAAAATGGTGTGTAGTAGCCACTAATTAAGGGTGTCTTTAATTTTTATCCACTAATTACAATGCTCAGCAAAAATAGTCACTACTAATACGGAAAAGACACATTTACCTTTCTTCCATGCGCTTATAATGCCAAAATGCCCAAAAACCCTTTTTTCATTCAGCCGAGGGAAAAGAATTTGAGAGGGGTTTCAGGGCAAGTTGCGTATTCTCTGCTTCTTCATCATCCTCTCGCATGCAAAGGATCTTCAGTTAATCTTCCTGCTCCTTCATCTTCTCCGCCATCTTCTATGAATCGTTCGCTACTGGTAATGTGTGTTTTTGTTATGCATTTTTGTATTTCTAAATGTGTAATCGGGTTCAATGCCGTGTGAAGTATGTTTGAAATTGCAAAAAATGATCATTATATGTTGATTCAGTGTCGGAGATGTAGTGTGATTGTGTTATTCAGAAATTTTTAGGGTTGAAATGTGAAATGTGTTTGTGGTTGATTCAATATATTTGATTATGTAGGTATATTTCATAAAAATAGTCGTAGAAATTCATAAGCTTACTGTGTTTATGAATTTTTAGTTAACTGTGTTCCTGAAATATAAGAAAGAAACGACATTAAATTTTGAAGTTGGAACTCAAAGTTAAGGACTGATTGTCCTTAACTTTTGCACATGAAACTTGAAGTTAAGGACCAAATGTCCTTAACTTTTGAACTACAAATTTGAAGTTTAGGACCTATTGTCTTTAACTTTTGAACTTTAAACTTTAAGTTAAGGACTGCTTGTCCTTAACTTTTGTATGTGACACTTGAAGTTAAGGACCAAGTCCCTGCAACTAACTGTAAGTCCTAATCTTTATTTTCTTTTTCCTTCTTTTGTAGTGTGATAATGGAAGAAGATCGTGTGTTCGAGTTTGATGATTGGCGTAATTTTATGGTGTATTGGAAAGGAGATTTACAATATAAGGAAACAATTAAAGGTTTTTTGTCGAATAGCCAGTGGAAGAAATTGAGGGATGGTATTTTTGGCAGCTTCTTCTGATTACAAAGTGTAAAGTTCTCTGGTAAACTTATTCACTGTTTATTGCTTTCAGAAATTGTAAATAATGAACCTGATTCAATGACATTCAAGGTATTTGATCGTGAAATTAAGTTTACCCGTGACGCATTTCACATAATTACTGGTTTGAAGTCTTATTTGTCGCTCGACATCAAAGGTTTACATGAGAAAGAGAATAGGCTTTTAAGAGTCTATTTCCCTGGAAAAGATAGAATTGAGTTGGGTGATTTGTTTAGTTTTATTTCTAGTCACCCACATGGTACAGCTTCATCATTTGT